AAATTTTGATGACATTGATATAAGTAAAAACAATTTTGTTGTAAAAACTTTAGGTTTGTATTATGACAGACGAACTGATTGATTTAAGATATCTTCTCCTTCCAGTTTTGCAAGTTGGTGTATACCAACTTTGTCTTTTATGTATATGTAAAAGTTTTGAGCTTTATAGCTCAATTTAATGACCCTTTGGGACTTGTTGGTTCTGTGTAGATCACAGCTAAGGTCATTATGCAAAAAATATGTATTTCCAAAATAAGGTGGGATGATCTGCTACCTCAAGATTCAAGATTTATTGGATACTTTTGTTAAAGACTTTCTGTGACTCATCAAATTATTGTTTTGGTCCTGTCAGTATGCTAGAGCAATTTTCCCTGATCGAATATATGTAAATTTAATCTGCTCAAAGTCCAGAATTGTGCCACTTAACAAAAAATTGACCATTCCTAGGTTGGAGTTAAATGCAGCTCTTTTGCTTTCAAATTTAATTAAAAAGGTCTGTGTTACGTTAATAGAAAAAATCTGTGATGTCTTTTTTATCCAGATTCAAGTATTGTTCTAAGCTGGATCAAATCATTCAAACCCTATAAAATTAAATCCTTATGTTGCGAACAGGATTCTAAAAATTCATGAATTCACAAATAAGTTCCACTGGCTTTTATATTAACACTACAGAAAATCTCGCCGACTTTCTGTCCAGAGAAATCGAACCTCAAGAGTTTGGATCAAATCAGGTAGGTATGGTTTCATGGTCCAAGTCAATTTTCTGCTATTGATTTTGAGCTACTGGAACGCATTTCGAAATTCCTTTTTCATTACTAGAAATTTAAATAAAATAACTATTTTAGCGAGAAGTCAAAATCATTTTTTCAAAGATTTTCTTCAATTTCACAACTTGAAAGGATATTTTCACAGACCTTTACGTGTAGGTGGCAGATTGCAAAGTGCTACCTATGACCAACAGCATTCCATAATACTTCCCAAAAATAATCACATAACTGGTCTTATCATTCGGAGAGACATTTCAGATTATTGCATGCCGGGCCACGACAAATGCTTAGTTTTCTAAATTCGAAATTTTAGCTCATTAGTATTAGTAGTGATCACAAGGCAAAATGCTCAGATTAATCAATGGGTTACTTGCCGGAGCAAAGAGTGCTCAGCTTGAGTTTTTTAGCATGTTGGAATCGATTTTTGTGGACCCTTCCTAATTCGTCAATAGCTCTTTTTGTTTGTTAAGGCCATACATATGGAGCTAGTATCGGATTTAACCACCAGTACTTTTTTAGCTGCTCTAAAACGGTTTATTATAATCGTAGGGGCAAACGTTCAAAAATATTTTGTGATAACGGCTCAACGTTTAAAAGAACAAGTAATAATTTATATGAAACTTTGTCCAACATTGTTGAAAATCAAATAAAAAATTAATTATATTTGCCTCGAAGAAAAAATTGAGTTCAATCGTTTCAATTTTATACCCAGTTTACTCTCCTGTGTTTGGGGGTTTGTGGGAGGCTGGCGTAAAAAGTGCCAAATATCACATTAAAAGGGTTTATGGGTAATAATAACACTCGTGTGACATATGAAGAGTTAAGTTAAATACAGTGATTATTGACATTATTTAGGTAGCAGGAATATTAAATTCCAGGCCTTTAATGCCTCTTTCACATGATCCACGATCTCGAATATTTGACTCCTGGATGTCTATTCTCGAAACCAGGGAACAGTGTTCTGTCTTCTCATGAGAACGATTGCTCTGTCTTAGTCAGTGTTATAGAAATATAAATATGGGTGAGGAAGACAGACCCTTCGTGCTCATGAGTATGCTGCTCCCCTGTTTCGAGAATAAGAGTTCTGGGCATTTTTTAATTGACGCTCCAAATACAAGTTTTTCCGAACATGACTTGAGTGAAATTCCCCAAAACCGACTTAAAATTTGGAAGTTGGTTGTTCAAATGCAACAGCACTTTTTGTCCAAATAGCACAAAGGTTATTTGACCCAACTTCAGAATAGGCCTAAATGGCAAACTGAACAGGCCAATTTTAAAACAGGAATGCTAGTGCTTCTTAAAGCAGGACAATGTCCTTTCCTTGCCAACCAGTAGGCCAGTAGGCAGAATAGTCCGTGTTATACCTGGCAAGAACAATTTGCGAAGTCAAAACTAACACGAGCATTTTTATTTACGTTGTTACTAAAAATGCAGTTCTGCCTATAAATTAGTGATAGAAATGAAAATTATTCCTTATTCCTAAACCTATTTGGTTAACATTTTAGGAGTAATATTTTTTTATTGTTATTTTTTTTAACCAGTTCTTTTTGGGACTCTCGTGGCTCACACGAAGCCACTAAAACTCTTTTACAACTATTTGCACGGCTATAACTTAGGGGATATTTATTCTAAGTGGAGCTTTGAATAGGAATCTTGTAGAAACAAAAGTCACATTCAAAAATCCACTTAGATTGAATATCCCTCAAGTTATACCTAGCCGTGCAAATCTAAGAGGTATATTTTCTCAAACTCAAGTACCTCGTCAATAAACTCTCGTGGTTAAATTTTAGGGATCACGAAGCTACTAAAACTATTTTAGAGTTATATTTTTATAGACTTGAGTAGTCAATAAACTCTCGAGTTGAATTTTAAGGCTCATGAAGCCACTAAAACTCTTTTGACTCTTTTAGATTTATAGATACATATTCATATTTTGTGCAAATGCCAAATATTTTAAAAGGGTTTTATTTTATGAAAAAAAGGCCCCAAGCATACCTATTTGATTTCCATAATAAGTCACAGTGTTTAATATTTTTATATCCTACTGAACTATTATAACCATAGTATATTACCTTTGTTACGATAATCATAAACAGGGTCTTAACTCCCGCGCGGGAGTTAAGGATTTCATAACTCCCGCGCGGGAGATAAGGATTTCATAAATCCCGCGCGGGATAACTCCCACTTTTACCTTGGATAGGTACAACTGGTACAACTTTGAGAAAAAATAGGGATTTTGGCTCATGGTTTATTCCTTTATAAAACTGGACAAGATACAGTGAATTCAGTAGGAAATAAAATTATCTATGTACCACGGGAATTATCAGGTGTTAATAGCCACGGGCAATTGGTGTCCCTCGGGGAACAAACTTGGCCCTGGGGTATTAACACCCTCATAATTCCCTTGATACATAAATAACTATTAGTTGGGACTGTTGGGACACATTGTCTTTTTGTAAAGGCCCCCAACATGTTGGAAATAACTTCCAACAATTACATATTTTTAATTTAAAATTTTACCTTTTATTGTATATCCGTTGTCATCGAGGGACGAGGTTGTCATGCTCAGGTGTAAAGGAGTATAAAAAAAATTGAGTGTGTTGTTGTTTTAGCAACCATCAGAAGATAATTTCAATATTTTTAGAAATACAGAAAAAATGTACTCTATATTAGTGATTTTTAATTGAAACATTTTGGAGCATCAGAATCCATAGTTTTTTCTTCATCCAGTTCAACCAGCTACCGAAGATAATTTACAAGAGCTTGGATTAAAGGTTTGGATGACTTAATTGGTTTATATGAGTGCAATCGGATTTCAAGGTAAAAGCTTTCCCTATCAATATAGTTCTTCTAATATTGATAACAAGAACGGGCTAGCACCTTTTTATTTAATACCTGCCAGGAACCCAAGGATGCAGACTCCTTACAAAACTACGCGCATTTCATATGAAAATATTCAATCGGCAAGTACCTATCTAGGAATCACGGCAAATACACATTAGAATTCCGGGATACTCGCGCTGCACCGCACAGTGTGAAATTTTTGGGATCTAGCTGGAAAAAAATATTTTAGCGGCTTTTTCAATGGAATATGAGTCTTTTTTGTCCGGATATAGGAGATTTTGATAAAACAAGATTGAGCATGCACCAAAATAACTTTGCCCCCCTTCCCATATAGGATTTTCTAGAAAGTAGCTCTGGGGGCGGGGGGGTTGAAAGAGGGGAGGTGAATTTTGCATAAAAGCTCATCCCCCTTCAAATGATAGTTGACGTGTTTCAGGGATTTTTTCGAAAATTTTTCAACTCCGAGATAATAGGAGTGGTAAGTTTTAACATGAACACCCTGTATGTAGATAAAACGCACCTAACCGCAGCTAATTTTTTTTTCAGCACGTGATCAAAAAAGTGAGATTTCAAAAAAATCTAGAATTATTGTGGTATTATGTGGTATTATACGAAGGCTCCTGGTGTCAATGAAATTATTATTATTTCCTACATATCGGAAAAACATTCGATATATAGACAAAAAAATCCGATATATAGGAAAAAAGTCCTATATATGGGAAAAAATTGCAACATATAGAAAAAAATTCCAGTATATAGGGAAAAAAATCCGATATATTGAAAAAAAACCGACATATAGAAAAAAAATCCAATATATAGAAAAAAGATCCGATATGTATATAGGAAAAAAATCGAACATATAGAAACAACAATGTGATAAAGTTGGGAAATCGAATTAATTCCACCTAAAATGCCAAAATTTCACACTGTGCACCGGTTCATTAACAATCTTGGATAAAGGTGCATGTGTGTTTTTCTTTGCATTGCTTTGTGGGTGATCTTATAGGCAAACTTTACGATTCATTATTCAATACCATAAGTAACTATTCTATTACCTGGTTATTCTGGGAATAGTTTACCCGTTTACCCATTTTAAAATTGGACATGACAATAAGGAGCCAAAGGGACAAATCTGTGAGAACATAATAAATTTTGAGTTAATTTCTTTCAGATGTTGTCCTTGCGCCATACTCGTTATTTTGGACAACAGTAGAATAGCGAACAAAAGGAGAACAAAAATTAAAAAACAACCGCTAAAATCCCTGCCACAGCATCTCTTCAGAGAATCACCTGTAGAGATTTTAGCGCAAGCGCGCCGTTGTGCTCTCGAAGTTCGTTGCACACATTTTTGATGTTTGTCCACATACTGTTTGTCTTTTCAAACTAACCAAACCAAGCAGATGTGTGATGTGTCGGGTCGGGTCAATTTATTACGACAAAAATGTGATGTAGTTTCGCGTGTGAAAATTTGCGGGATGTTTTTGTTGACATGTTAAATGAATGGAAGCGCTTCAACAATTAGTGAGTCTTTTCGCCGTTTTTGAAAATCTTCCCTGATACCGAAAGCCAGTTGGTTGCTTCTTTGGAATTTGGTAGGCGTTATTTCGTTACCTTCAAGCTTTGCATGATAATTCTGTACCTACCTACCTAATGATTTTCACAATTTTTCTTGTTTTATTCTTTGACCTGAATCACTAATTATCCTTTAAGATACGTGTATGTTCGATTTTTATTTATAGCGATGACAATATATTATTTAACAACTACTTAATTGTAAATCCTCTGGAGCTGGTTCATGAATACTTACATAATTTGAATAATTATCATATTTTAAGAATTATTGTTTTTTTTTTTTTAGAATAACTGCGAATTGTAAAATTCATCAACCACCTGTTGAGTTGCACCTTGCAATACACACATTTTCGAAGATAATTCCCTATACTCATTATCAGATACCTACCTACCTGATAATGAGCAGGGACAGTTAATTTTTTTTACTAATTACCTCATGCAAATATTAAATGTCAGCCTAAAAACTTTGGAAAATCGAATTGCCCATATTACCAAAAATCTGCCTCTCTTTTTTTTTTCATTAAAAAGTTTTTCGAAAAAAAAATCATGTTTTTCACTAATTTGATGGCAAGTTAGCGAGGCACATCACTGAAAATAACAGTTGTGCTTGAAAAAAAAAAAATGTGTTTGGCTAACTTGACAAGTTAGCCAAACACAAAGTGAAATTTTTCCGTTTTTTTGCCGCTTATAATTACCTAGCTCTGGAAACGAAGAATTTGCAGCGGTTTTTTTCCAAATAAATTATTTTCGTTAAGTTAAAAAAAACAACATTACTGAAAATGGCACTAACAAAAAATCGTTTGGGGGTGAATTTGCCGTTTTTTCACCACAAATTAATACACCAATAATTGTCTTGACAAAAAATTTCCTGCTAATTAGTTGTGGAATTGAAAATTTGACCCTCTTTTTGATTTTTCGTACCTACGTGTTTGGCTACTGGACAAAAATAACATCGATGAAATAATGAATCACTGGAGATTTGCAGTTTTTTTTGCCGCTTATAAGTTGTTTAAACTTAAGATTTGCCGCTCTTTTATTTTTCATGGAAAATTGTGTCAAAAAAACCCTGCAAATTTTTAGTTCACATAATTTATGGAGGCAAAAAGTTTTCACTTATTCAATTTCGCCCTAAATTTAAGTGATGTTGTTTTGCTAACTCCATGTCAAGTTAGTCAAATAACTAATTCGCAAAAAAGCGGCAAATTTTTCCATTAAACAATTAATTAGCAAATTCTTAGTATGATTGCAAGTCGATTTTTCAAAGATGTTTTGACTGAGTTGATGTAGGTATAGTCTCCGCCACAGATAATTGAGAATCCTACAAAAAAAAATTTCTATGTGGGCGATGCCCGCATAAACAAAAACAAAAAATTAATGCTCTTGGACTAAATTTAATCGCAACCCTTATCTGTAGAGTTTTTGCAGCGGTTTTTGTTTATGTGGGCATCGCCGACAATGGAGTCATTTTTTGTAGGAATCTCAATTATCTGTGGCGGGGACTATACATACCTACATATTTTTTATAATATGCTGATAGGCATTTGAAAAAATTCATAAATTGAAATTCTTAGGTACTAAATAGAAAAGAAAAAGATATAAAAAATATTTTTTTTGATGATGAACCCTGTAAAATAATTATAAATGAACAGAAAAGAATTTCTACTTGATTAATTTTTCCGACCATAGTTTACTGCCAAAAAACTCAAAAAAAGTAGGCATACATTATACTACTTATCATAGTTCTGTATAAATAGGTAATTAGTTTTTCTAAAAAAAAAGGTGAATACTGAAAAAGACAACCTTGTGTATATTGAAATAATTTACTTGTTATTAAAATTTTCTAATTACATATTTATTTAGTATTTACTTACAAAAAGCAGGCCATAATTGGTAGGTACCTACTTCCATAAAGTCAATATTATTGAATGCCAGTATTGCCACACACAATGTTAACTTTTCCAGTGTTGGGTTGGGGTAGTTTTGATTTTGATAACATAAATAAATAATTTGAAAGCTTTAATAATATATTAATTATTTATGCCCGATTATTATACTTTTCTGCCAATAAACAATTTTCGATAAAATTCATTTTTGCCCAGTTAGAGCACTTAGTTTATTTATTTACAATGCTTCTATTTGTATTTAACATAGAATACAGGGTGGCCCATTTATTTTGTCCTGTCTTGTTACCTATATGGAAATCTAGATATTTTATGACAAAAAGTTTTATACAAAAGTTGTAGGGTTTGTTTTTTTGTTTTTGCGCATATACAGGGTCAAAAAAGTGTGACACATCAGATTTATTTATTTTTTAATAGAACACCCTGCATATTTTTATATTTTTTGATAGCGCTTTCAAAGACAAATATAAATGTGTTGCCAACCTTTGCAAATGTTCGTTGTTCTTTATTTTTTTAAATGGCACACCCTGTATATTAAATGTGGGATGGAAAGTACTCTTTAAAACAAACTTTTTTCGTATAAGACATTATACAGGGTGTTCGAAATTGAGTCGGCACCATTGCTAACTCGCTTACCTATTATAAAGAGTTACAAAATCGGTTGAAGTGGCAAACTAGTAGCATTTCTTTCGCTAAATAAAATAGTGAAAACTGAAAAACAATTGTGCATCGCGTTTTCGAGATATTTTTGAAATTTCACTTTTTTCAATGGAAGACCCTATATATTTTTGTTAGTTAGATTGCAAATGTTTTTCTCACCAAAAAGGTTCCTAGGCACTATTACCATAAAACCAAAAATAACTATGAGTTATTCCACATTTCACATTTTTTCCAGTTGGCCATGTATGTATTGTTATCTTAAAGAGTACCTACTTTTCATCCCACATTCAATATACAGGGTGTGCTATTTAAAAAAATTGAAGAAAACGACAAATTCCAAAGTTTAGCAACACCGCAACACAAACTAAATGAACTTGTTTTTGACAAATTAGACGACATAATATGTTTCTCTTTGGTCAAAATCCGACTTAAAACTATTTATTTTTAACGCTTCTACAATATTCTAAAAATTGGCAGTTCCCCGAAGATAACCGTAAGTAAATCCGAAACCGTGCATAACAACCCTATCAAACTACATATCGTCGGTCTCATGACATAAGGCCCTATCTTGAGATAGGGCCAAAATGAGTTAAGTTCATAGATACGTTGTATTCAGTATATACTGTTTTTAGCCAAGGGTCTTATCTTGAAATCAGTTCAATTCGTTAAAAAAATGAGAAAACACTTGACCCTATCTTGAAATATGAGCAGTTTTATTACAGCATAAAGGCGAATCTTGAGACACATGTAAATTACTATTTTGAAATGTGTTATTTGACAAAAAACTCACATGGTTTGTTGTTCATAATTCCAAAAAAAAAGACCAAAAATCGGTATACTTCTTTGTATTCTTCTGGCGTAAAGATATTAGTTTTCTTTTAATTGCTCTCCGGAAAACAGGGTGTTTTACGAACATCGAAACAGAGGCGTTTTAGCGTATTTCAAGGTCGATTTAAAAAAAACGCCCCGACACGTCATTTTTGTATTCAAGGGGGAAACTTTTTGACTCCTTCGGTATTTCACTAGGGTGCACCCCCTGGGTGGGGTGATTTTCACCCCTTCTTTTTAGATATGGAAGATGAGTCGAGTGGTACCTTATTTTAAAGGTATTTTGATTCTCGTCACAACTGTGTACTTTTTTTGAAAATCGAACGATTAGTTCCCAAGATATTCACTGTCAAAGTTGCCATGGGCTAGATAGGAAACAATCTTCTGGCCCTATTACTCCCAAATTTACACTTTCCTGAATCTCCTCTCGGACACGTCAATTTTTTTTTTTTGTGCTTCCGAAAAAATTGAAATTGACGTCAGTTTAAATAGGTTTTATAATTTTTGCGTGTATTCATGACGCCACGCGATGAATAGAGAAAACTTTATTTAGGCGCATCTACCTTATTATTTTGATGCGAGATTTTCACAAAAGTTCTTAGAATTTTTTTCTTTATTTTCTGAATGCAAGTTATATTTTAAGGTTACACCCCCTTTAAGAAAAGTGCTGAGATATCGGAGTTACACCTATGCGGTTGTACAGGGTACTTGATTATATTTAAGGCCATACATACTATAAAAAAAAGTCGCGTGCAGCACAGTACACGTGATATAAGTGAATACTTATTTATCGATTCGTGGGGGGTGAGTGAGTGCGTTAAGAACAATACTCTCTTTCATTCACCATCTCTTTCTCTCTCTCTCCCTCATATTCATCATATGCTTCATCTCACTTGCGAGACGAAAATTTTATAAATCGTGTCGTGACGCGACCTTGAAAAATCACTCTCATGCGGCGAAAGAAGTATTCACTTCAAAAAAATAAGTTGGGCCAGGTACTCCTAAGGGGTACTTACCTTTGAGGTGACTCAAAAAGTGCCTTATTTTGGTTCCCCCTCCAATCCCCCGATCCGTATTTGAGAGCTTCGTGATAGTATTTTTTGTCTAAGAGATATTCCCGATTGCTACTTTCCAAATTGTCACCTTGTATATACAATTGATCACATTTGCGTGAGTCATTTTTGACATATCTTAAGTTAAATTATAAATAATTTGCAAAGAAATTCCATAAGGATCTCTTTATAAAATTTATTTATAATTTAAGCTAAGTATGTCAAAAATGGCTCACGCAAATGTGATCAATACATACAGAGTGACCCAGAATATGTGGGCAATCTCTCGGATTCAGATAGAACACAAAAAAATAACATGAACCTACTATAAAAAAAAAATTCCTACGGCTCCACCTACCAAGTTACGTGCCCCTAAAGGACACCTCTGAAAATCGGTTCTTTTTTGACAATTTCCAAAATACTTCGTGTAATTTTTTTTTCTTTTGATATGATGGATACTAGATAAGACCCCTTAAAATTTACCCTTTCAAACACACTTGGCCAATCTAGTTTGGCAGGAACGGACTTGCTAAGTCTTAACACAATAATGCTCCTTTTTTACACCCTGTATGATAAAGGCATAGCAATAAAATTTTTAGATAGTTTCAATCTTGAACTAGAAAAAAGGTACTCTCATTCGATGTCGAAAAAATGAGCTGGTTTAGAGAAAATCTGTTTTTCTTTATTAATAGTTTTTTATTAAATAATTTTGTATGTGGACTCAACATGAGCTTCTAATTTTATGCATTCCATAAGTATTTTAATGAAATATTGTTCGACCCTCGACAATGCTTCAATATCAAAATTAATCCTTTCTACTAATATTTCCTCAGTGTCATTATTGTGTTAAAGCTAGTCCGTCCCTGACAAACTAGATTGGTCAAGTGTGTTTGAAAGGGTCCATTTTAAGGGGTCTTATCTAGTATCCATCACATTAAAAGAAAAAAAAATTACACGAAGTATTTTGAAAGTTATCAATAAAAAATCGAATTTCAGAGGCGTCCTTTAGGGGCACGTAATTTCGTAGGGGTGGCCGTAGGAATTTTTTTTTTATAGGAAGTTATCATGTTATTTTTTTGTGTTCTATCTGAATCCGAGAGATTGCCCACATATTTTAGGACACCCTGCATATATGTATATATTTGGAATCAGGAAGAAAAGATCTTTCATTTTATCGCATAATATACAGGATGTTCCATTAGAAAAAGTATAAGTTATCTACGTTTCTCCATTTTTCGATGCGATTTTGTTTTTTCTGATAACGTTAAAAGAAAATATAGAATAAAACTGTCAAGTTTTCTATTCGAATTTTTTCTCTATCTTAAATAGTAAAGGCTGTAAGTGTGGGCTTAAATATAATCAAATACCCTGTACTTAATTAGTTCAACTACCTACCGATAGCGCAGTCGTTAACCTTTTTATTTCACGGTGGACCATATCACACAAGCAATTATTTGGACTAATTTTATCACACAAGCAATTATTTAAACTAATTTTATTATTCATGCCTTATCGCTTCGTTTCGGATAATGCTACCATTGCACCTGATTAATGATTTTAATAGTTTCAATGCCCCAATGTTTTGTAACTTGCTCGGCCACACACTGTGTTCTATTTACCAGTAAAATTACCAAAATAGTACCCTACACGTCATTCGCCTATAAAATCCCACACTCTACGCCATCGCCAAACACTTCCGAATTCGTTGTCCTACACACTTTTTCTATAACATAATATGGCTAAAGTCGAAAGCTGTTATTATATATTGCTATTTCACCTTCTAAAAACAGGTGCTATTGTGAATATTTTATCGATGAAACATGTTAACAGTCGACGTAGTACGTAGTATAAAGTCCCTCAGAGTTCATGGAAAAAAAATCTTGAAAATCGACCTTTTTTCCATAATTCTGAGCAAGGATAGGTACTTTTGCCAGCGGCTCGTTGAGCTTCCTTCTTCAATTATCAATTTCTAGTTAATTTTTCTTATTGAACGTGATTTCTGTATTTTTAACATCTGCTAAGTAAATTTTCTCCAAATTTTTTTTATTTATTTGTGTTCAGAACGTTATGTTATGTCATAGACAGTTGCTAATTAATTTTGTTCCATTTCAAGCAACCTCTTATATTAAAATGCGTTTCCTAAGATTGTGTCTTTATCTCAAAGTTTATTAAAGGGGGTGTGACCCAAAAATGAAAGTTTAGGTGCAAAAAATCCAAGAATTAATGGGTGGTATGAATAAAAACTGAGTTTAAACTCGGAGTATATACTCGTGAACATGAGTATGAAGTCTGAGCTTATACTCCATTTCGTAAGAATAAAAAAGATTTCGGTTTGATAAGTACATACTCCTAGTACATAGAGTAGATACTCAACATTTTATTTTGCTTGCCATCGCTCTTTCGCCTCTATATCCTATTCACAATCCGATATCCACAGGTACAGGTAAATTTATCACCTTTCCCTATCAAATAATTAAATAGCATTGAAAGGTGATAAATTTTACCTGTATACCTGTGGACATCGCATTGTGAATGGATAATATTATATCCGCAGGACTGCGGGGAAATTTGTTCCACCGTTCACTTTGCTGAATTATCTTATCAGCTACTTCCGATACAACTTTAGACACCGAAGTTTGGTGAACACCAACATCCTCGCCTACTCCTGCCTGAAAGCCCGGGTCACCCACGTATCTTAAAAATATTTTAAATTTGTCTATGTTGCATAAAGCACCACCTCTTCTTTCTCCAGACTCTTCACAAGGAATTTTCTCGGAGACTATTTTGAATATAGGACTGCGGTTTTCACGAGAGGACTTAGAATTTTTTTCTTGATTTAAGTAGCTTAAGTCGTTTTTTAGGGTCACAACCCCTTTAAGGGAGCTCTTGAAAATGGGTGCATTTGCATTTTCTTATAACAACAATTATTCTATGAAATTTGAGGTAAATATCCTATTGCCAAGACAAAAATAATAATTATTGCTTTTATGCTCGTTCTTCAATACAATTCGCATTTACGCTTTATTTCCTGTTGTTGGCCCCCGTTGACATTTCTAAATTAGATCTGCACCATCAGGAAGTTTTTTTAGAGAAAAAAAATTGTCCCTGTGGCTCGTTAGACAGACTGAAAATAGCCGAAGTTGAATGACACTTGCATTTCAATGTACGTAAACGTACTGGAGTCCCCCGGCTTTTCGTAACAACCGAAAAATGAGAGAAAAAAAATTGTTTGTTTGGTTGTATTAAGTGTCACTCTTGCCAGTCAAAAGGATTTAAAATTAGAAGATATGTGATTTATTTCCTTTGAAATTAGTGCCCAGAGGCCGGAGCCATCGATAATTTAAAATATTGATGTTGATGCTTGAAATAAATAGTTGACTTTTTCTTTTTGTTGGCAACATTAATAATATTCATAAATTATAATTAATTATTAGGTGCCCAGGTGTTACTGTTCAAAGTTCTTTGCATGCGCGTATTTATTTACAGAATTTAATTTCAATTATAGGCATTAAATTGAAAGCCATAATTCAATATATGAATTAGCATCGACTACAAAAAAGTATTAGGTGCAGGTACCTATAGAAACTTTGCCTATAGCTATAGGTATCGCACGAAAACTATTTTTCGTGGTATTACGTTGTTGACTGGGTAATCCCGCTCCAAAAATCCTCCACTAAAAATTATTTTTATCTACTAAAGGACAAACACTTATTCACTTGTAATATTGGCTAATCAATGATAGTTTTTTTTAGTTTGTTTTTCTATCTTTATTTTTTTTCTTTTTTTATTAGTGATAACCAATTCTAATTGAGGCTCAAAAATGGCAAAGTACCCGGCAAATCTTCCTCCATTTGAAATTTCCGAAAATGGTAAGTTTGTGTTTTTTTTGTCCAATTTAAATTGAAAGTTGCTACAAAAGACAATGCCTAAGTGCTTAAAGGTTTTGAGGTCAGTAAAATAACAGCTCACTATATTTAGTAGCATTTTAATATGGAATTGAAATATAAATTATGGTCATAGTATACATAACATGCTATAATATTCTAGATTAAATATTATTACTGTTTTTTTTTCCATTCCAGACATTATTTTATGAAATGAACAATCCGTAAGTGATTTTAAATTGTTTTACAATTTTCAAAAAATATTAATTACTCATATTGAATGTTTACCTCTATCTAAGACGTGCGGTTGAAGAAAGATAAAAATGATAAAATTAGTAAAATTGATGGGGATGATACGATTTTATTTTATCAGTTTGTAAAAAATATACATATTAGACCGTCAGATAGTGACATATTTAGGCGCCCCATTTTCGCATACCTACAAGCCTCGAAGAGCAAGAAAACATATTGGCTTGAGTGTCGCGAATAGAAAAGTACATTTAAGGGTAACATAAGTAAAATCGAATTTTCCATATGTTATCCCCAGTAGCCACTCGAGAAAATACCTTCATCCTACTCAAAATCGATGTACTTTTCAACCCTCTTCGAGGCTTGTATGCGAAAATGGGGCACCTAAATATGTCACTAGCTGACGGTCTATATTGTCACGGCACTGCGGTGCGTGACAGAAATCTTGGGTTCGTTTATTTCACAATCAAAGTCCAATTAACACAACAATAATTTATCCCACGTTACTATACACTCTGACACTAATTACTTCACTAATTAACTCAAACAACTAAACTCTTTACAACTCTCAACAATAATCACTATCTAAATCATATCACAGTCAATCTTAAACTTAAAACAACTAACTAATACCGCAATCTATTCGTGTAAAATCCAGGATAAACGCGATAACTCTTCTTCCCCATTCCCGAACAGCACCGCAAAATCTAGAATCAGCTGTCCAATTCTGTACACCCTAGCGCTTCTGCCAGATTTTAGCGATACTACCTTTCTCTTAAAGTTGATCGTCCCGATCAACTTCGCGCCCATGATATTTCGTCAATCTGTCCAAATGTAATATTTCATGTTACTCCTGGTGTTGCGCTTAACTCGATAAACCAAATCATGAATCCTCATGATTATTCTGTAGGGTCCCTCCCATGCTCAAGACAATTTCGGCGACACTTCTGAATCACCTTCTTGAAATCTGGCTGAATTGGCTTTCAAGTCGTATCTGGTCTTCATTCGGTCACTGGCCAGCTGAATCGAGTATTCCCATAAGTCGTGCCCTTACTTCGTCGGCATAATCTCGAATTTCTTTTCGTTCTTCTTCAGGTATTCTAAACATCAGATCGCAAGGTAACCTGAGTTCCCTTCCAAAAACGATTCTAGTCGGATTTTCACCTGTTGACTCCTGAACAGCTGCTCTGTAAGCCATTGAAAATAGAGGCAAATGTTTGTCCTAATCTCGCTGGTTCTTTGCGTCGACTTTTGTCCGGTGTTCCTCTATGGTCTTAAAAAATCGTTCTACATGCCATCAGACTGTGGATATAAAGGTGTTGTCGTTGTCTTACGAATTCCCATGATCTCATAAATTTTCTTAAAGATGGCAGATCCGAAGCTTCGTCCCTGATCTGAATGTAACTCTAGTGGCACACCATAAAGACTAAAAACTTCGTCCACTAGCACTGAGCAATAGTGATGGCTTCTTGATTGGGAATAGCCAAAACTTCTGGCCATTTACTGAAGTAATCCATGATAACCAAGATGTATTTTTTACCACGCTCTGACTCAGGGAATGGTCCAGCTACATCTATCGCTATTCTTTCAAATGGGAGACCGACGTTGTACGGTTTCATGGGCCCCCGAGATCTTAGTTTAGGACCTTTACTGGTAGCACAGATGTCGCATTTTCGGCACCAGTTTTTAACGTCTTCATGATAGTGGATCCAGTAAAAACGTTCTCGAATTTTGTCCAAAGTCTTGTTAAGTCCAAAATGTGCCCCTGAAGTTCCGTCATGTATTTCTTTTAATACATCTTCTACTCGATCTTTTGGAATAACTAGTTGGCTCTTCGTAGTTTTCCCATCGGCACTTTCCCAAACTCTTTTTAGTAAACCATTTTCTACGGCCAGAGAGTTCCACTGAGTCCACAACGCCTTGTAAATCAAGCTCTTATTCGATACTTGCCCATTCTGGCCTACCTTCATCGTTTTCTTTAAAATGTGGAATTTGCCCGATGTCCTGGTCTGCCTCTTGAACTGCTCGCATTTGTTTGGTAGTCTATTTATCATTAACGATTAGATCCGTTCTTCTCACAGCCGGACCAGTGTTTTTCTCATGCATGTCGATTCGTTGACAATGCTTGCAGTCTTCTTTGCATGGAACTCTAGACAGAGCGTCGGCATTTTCATTCAGGTTTCCATGTCGATGTTTAATTTGGACATCATATTGCTGCAATTTCTCAATCCATCTAGCAAGCTGTCCTCCGGGAGTTTCATTTCAAAAAGCCATTTTAGAGCCGCGTGATCTGTCCGAATTAGAAACTTACGTCCGTAGAGATACCTATAGAAATGATCGAATGCTTTTACTATAGCAGGCAACTTTCTTCTGGTGACGCATAAATTTCGTTCTGGCTTTGATAAGGTTCTGCTATATTACTCTACGACATGCTCTTGTGAATTTTGGATCTGTGAAAGGGCAGCTCAAATACTGGTACAAAATCAACATGCCTTTCAGATCGGGAAAGGACAACAATGGGCTCGTACATAATGCTCCTTTTAATTTTCTGAAACCGGAATCGTATTCTTGGGTCAAATTGAATGTTGATTTTTCTTCTGTTAATTGATGAAGGGGAGCAGCTATATTGGCGAATCCTTCCACAAATCTTCGATAATAAGAACATTTTCCCAGAACACTCCTTAGTTCGTGTTTGTCGCTTGGCTTTGGCCAATCCCTGACAGCATCTATCTTTCCTTCCATAACTTGTATGCCATCTTCAGATACCACGTGACCTAAGAATTCCACTTTCTTTTGAAATAGAAAACACTTATTTGGGTTGAGTTTTAAGTTGGCATTCCGGAAGCGATCAAAAACTTCTGTCAGGTTATTGAAATGTTCTTGAAACGAATTTTCCATGATTATGACATCATCTGCCATATCTGCCATAAGGCCACGCAAAACAAGAAACAAGATGCATCAGTCGCTTAAATGTAGCTGGAGCATTACACAATCCGAAAGGAGTTACGCTCCCGGTACTAGGGGCAGTTTTCTCTTTGTCATCTTTGTGTATTGCCACTTGCCCGTATACACTTTTGAGATCCAAGGTGGAAAACCATTTGTAGCCGGATAGAGTTGTTAATGTATCGTCTATCCTCGGGAGAGGGAAGCTGTCCTTCTTGGAGACGTCATTAAGCTTACGTTAGTCCACAAAAAAATCTAAAACTTTCATCTTCTTCGTAACCAATACTACTGGCGCAGACCATGGACTATTTGACTCCTCCAATCCCTCTTGAAGCATTTTATCAATTTGCTTCTCCACTTCCTGTTGTTTAGCTATTGGCATACGTCGAGGTGGTTATCTAATTGGGTGTGCCAATCCAATTTTATGTTAAATTAAACTGGTCCGTCCGGTTTGATTATCCATCACAAATACGTCTGCTTCTTTCAAGATGAAATCTGTGGCTTCCCGAAGTCTATCTGGATCAAGGTGTTTCCGTGATTTCTCCAAAGTCTGCATCAAGGTGTCTGTATCCAATTTCGATTTTTCAAAATGTCGTTAATCTGGTAGGTCACAGTTCGATATTTGCTTAACTGTCCCAATAATATCTCCTTCTTTTATTTTTACTGTTTCAGAAGAAACATTGGCAATTCTTATCATAATGTCTCCATTTGTTCTTTCTAGAGTCTTTCCAACGAGAAATCTTTCTGGTTTATCTCCAATAAAATTATGTGTTAGTCCAACGCAGCACCTAGGGTTTGTTTCCAATTTTCCGCAAATGATCTTCTCAGTACTTCCAGGACCCCTCACTGGGTTTGTGGCCAGGATCTTAACGGCTTCGGATTCTTCTTGTGTAGGTAGAACAAATTCTTCATTACCAAATTTAAGGATGTTCATAGAAGGATCGAAAGAGAAATCATGTTGGTCGATCAAATCCATTCCCGAAATAAAATCATCTTCTATATCGGCGACTAATGTTCTGTGCCTGAAGGTGGTAGATCCAAAAGTAAGCGCAACCATAGCTATGGATTGCCCGAGACTCGACTAATAATCTTCTAATTATAGAAACGTCAGCACCCGTATCAAAAGTTCTGGTTTTAAGTTCTCCATTAATTTGTCCTTCCAATTTTAATCCTGTATAATGACGGCCCAATGATTTTATGTAAACAACCCTGGGGGGCTTCGTCATTACTAGCTAGCATCCGCCCCTGTGTACTGGTTGGTTCCTGTCTGTTATTAAGGCTGGCGTGTCTAGATCTTGAAAAGCGTTGGGAATGATCCCTAGATGGAGAGGACATCCTTACTCTACAATCCCATTGCATATGTCCAAGCCTATGACACCGGTAACATTCTACTCGGTTTCTCGGGTTTGGTGTGTGTCTGGAGTCGTTTCTCGTTTGTCTACTTACTCATAACATTCTTGAAGCTACCATCTTCTTTTGACGATTGTTTATCCTTTGGGTCTTCAATGGATACTGCTCGTATTCTGGGTCGTGGGGCACCAAAGATTGCTTCCAGTTCCTATGCTCGGACAAGGGCTTCGGTACTTCATCTGAACTTATTTTCAGGTTTTCCTGGATCTTGGAATCTCTGGGACCATCAATAAAAGCAGATACTGCCATCCATTCCTGATCCATCCAATGTCTGACTTAGATGCTGGTAATTCTGTTGGTAGATTCAAGGAATAAACTGGAGAAGATCTAAGGCAGGTCCTCGTAGCGCCGCTATCAGTGCTGTTGCTTTTTCTTGATCATTC